CCTCATTGACACCAGAGAGTTCACACTGGAGAAAAACCTTATGAATGCAGTGAATGTGGGAAATCTTTTAGATGCTATAGTAACCTTTTTAAGCACAAGAGAGTTCACACAGGAGAAAGGCCTCATGAGTGTAGTGAATGTGGGAAATCTTTTAGCCAAAAAACTCACCTTTTTACACACCTGATTGTTCACAATAGAGAAAAGCTTTAAATGTGCACCGAATACTTTCTTTTTCTCATTGATAATAACAACACTGAAGAGGTCTCTTTAAAACACATTTAATGGAACATAAACCCCTTTTATCACAACATGCACTCCCCTAGATTCCTCATGAAATTTCAAGTATAAGTGATGCTTTGAATAACTGAATGGCGCTTGCTAAGCTGCTCGGGTCTACTACCCGATTGAAATCCGTGGGAATATTCCTGGCTGAGGCGATTTCACCTCCACCACCTGGCTCACCTGAACAGGGAGCCTCAGTCACAGCCCCTGCGTGGTCAGGGAAAAGGAATTCTGTGTTCTCACCTCTGCCTGAGCAAACTGTGATTCCTCCAAGCTCGTGGCAGGATCTTCATGCGTTTCTGACTAGGAAATGGAGTTGATTGAGGGTTCATCCAGCACACCCATCGTCATCTAAGAGGAGCTACCTCTCTCAGGGACATCATGGCTCTCACCTTATGCTGTGATGAATTGTTTCAGGTTCCAATTCACCAACCTGCAAACCCATGAAATTTTCTAACACCTCTCAGGTTTATGATCTTTTTGTCCAGGTGCTTTTATTCATGTACTAGTACCTTTCATTTCGTTGGTCCTATGCATTGCCTGGATTGATTTGAAAGCACACTTGGGATCTGTCCGCATGTCCAGGCGAACAGACATTGTGGGAATCCCCAACCTGCTGTGTTTCCGAAGGCAAAGCGTGGAGTCAGAAAATCACTGTGTCCCGTATTCACTTGTAATGCAGTGCTGCCCAAGACCTGGAAAGAAAGCCGGCATGACTTGGTGGTTCTCATCTGCAGCCTGGTGCCTCCTGTGATTGCGGTCTGAGGTCATCCTGAAGATGGGGGTGAGAGGGCTTTGTTGTGCTTCTGTGAACAATGTGAATTATATTCTCCGTTCACAGTGTGTATTACATACTGTCAAGGTGCCCTGTGCCATTATGAATGACATTTCGTAGGCTGGTGTCGCTTGTATTGAGACTCTGAGGGTTAGGTTGAACTACAACTGGGTCAGAAACCCTGTATTCATAGTGAGTGGGAAAGTGTGAAGAGAATTATTGAATCGCACCTCTTCTGAACATTACCCACAAATGACCAAGGACGTGTGACCTGTGTGGTCATTGTGGACAGGCGTCCTCAGTTCCTCCATCACTGTTTCCTGTGGCTAAAGTCATTCTTAGAGAAAATAATCTAAAGGGTCTGTGTCCTCTTCTGGCCTCTCTAAGGTGTTCACCTCAAGGTTTGCTCAACAGGCGAGACCTCAAAGCTAGAGGAAGTGTAATCCTGTAGTCAGTCCCAGGATGTGGCATTTGTGACCCAGTCAGCATTCCTGTTGATTCTGATGGCTATAGTTTTCTCTGCTTGCCAATATTTGCTTCCACTGAGGCAAGGCTGGTGCTCCCAGGAAATTAGGAGAGAGATGGTAGAGCCCATATAGGGTTATCATTTTAATTTTCTATCAAGACAGGGTTATATAGGCCTTTATTTGGAAGCACATTTTAAGGTTTTATTTAGGTATATTTGTACTATTTGTTGACCAGGGATATAGGGATCAAGCTCTGAAACGGTCACATATGACATAAACTTACCTCTCACCCATTTACAGGTTAGGGAAAAACCAGGCATATAGATGTGAATATGCAAAACACAGAGTTGACTCTATTTTTCTAAGTAAGTATTTTACATATTTAAAAATATCTTTAACGATTTTTCACAAAGCACGGAAGGGAGAGAGAGAGAAAGAGAGAGAGCAACAGAGAGAGAGAGAGAGAAATGGTGATATTAGAAAGAAACATCAAACAGCTGCCTCCTGCATGTCACCTACAGGGCATCCAGGCAGGCATGTGCCTTGAGCTGGAATGGAACCAGTGACCTTCTAGGGCAATGGATGGTGCTCAAACACCTGAGGGTCACTGCCCAGGGAGAGTTATCTGT